AGTGGTATGGGAATACCAAATCATCTTGTCTGTCTCCTGACGAATCTGTATAACAACCAAGTAGCAACAGTAACAACTGACCATGGAACAACAGACTGGTTCAAGAATGGGAAAGGCATACGGCAGGATTGTATACTCTCACCCAAACTATTCAACTTGTATGCAGAACACATTGTGCGATGAATGGGGCTTGACGAATCGAAGGCGGAAGTGAAAAATTCTGGGAGAAACATTAACAACCTTCGATATGCAGATGATACCACTTTGATGGCTGAAAGTGAGGAGGAACTAAGGAGGCTTCCAACCAAGGTGAAAGAAAAAAGTGCAAAAGCTGGGTTGCAGCTAAAAAAATTAAAAAAAAACTAAGATTATGGTAACCAAACTGATTGATAACTGGCAAATAGGGGGAGAAAACGTGGAGGCCATGACAGACTTTGTATTTCTAGTCGCAAAGATTACTGCAGATGCAGACTGCAGCCAGGAAATCAGAAGATGTTTCCTTCTTGGGGGGAGAGTAATGACCAATCTCGATAAAATAGTGAAGAGTAGAAACATCACACTGGCAACAAAGATCTGCATAGTCAAAGCAATGGCATTCCCCATAGTAACCTATGCATGTGAGAGCTGGACCATAAGGAAGGCTGAGCGAAGGAAGATAGACACTTTTGGACTGTGATTCTGGAGGAAAATGCTGAGAATGCCTTGGATTGCAAGAAGATCAAACAAATCCATACTCCAGGAAAAAAGCCCAATTGCTCATTGGAGGGAAGGATATTAGAGGCAAAGATGAAGTACTTTGGTCACATAAAGAGAAGACAGGAAAGCTTAGAGAAGACAATGATTCTGGGGGGAAAGGAAGGAAAAAGGAAGAGGGGCTGACCAAAGGCAAGATGGATGGATGGTATCCTTGAAGTGACTGGCTTTAATTTGAAGGAGATGGAGGTGGCAACCCATGACAGGTAGCTCTGGCGTGGGCTGTTCCACAAAGAGGTCACAAAGAGTCAGAAGCGACCAAGCGAATAAACAACAAAAAGCCCTTCCTTATAAAGCATAAATTGACTTTTATGAACAAGTTACTTATGGAGATGTACACACTGTACAAGCTGGGTTTAGAAAAGGCAGAGGAACGAGAGACCAAATTGTCAATATCCGCTGGATAATTGAGAAAGGCAGGGAGTTTCAGAAAAACATCTATTTCTATTTTATTGACTATTCTAAAGCCTTTGACTCTGTGGATCATAATAAATTGTGGCAAGTATTTGGTGGTATGGGAATACCAAATCACGTTGTCTGTCTCCTGATGAATCTGTATAACGACCAAGTAGCAAAAGTAAGAACTGACCATGGAACAACCGATTGATTCAAGATTGGGAAAGGCATACAGCAGGATTGTATACTCTCACCCAACCTATTCAACTTGTATGCAGAACACATTGTGCGATGTACAGGGCTTGACGAATCCAAGGCTGAAGTGAAAATTTCTGGGAGAAACATTAACAACCTTAGATATGCCTATGATACAACTTTGATGGCTGAAAGTGAGGAGGAGCTGAGGAGCATTCTAACCAAGGTGAAAGAAAATAGTGCAAAAGCTGGGTTGCAGTTAAACATCAAAAAAACCAAAATTATAGTAAATAGACTGATTGTTAACTTGTAAATAGAGGGAGAAAAAGTGGAGGCTGTGATGGACTTTGTATTTCTAGTCGCAAAGATTACTGCAGATGCAGACTACAGCCAGAAAATCAGAAGATGTTTCCTTCTTGGGCAGAGAGCAATGACCAATCTCGATAAAATAGTGAAGAGTAGAGACATTACACTGGCAACAAAGATCTGCATAGTCAAAGCAATGGTGTTCCCCATAGTAACCTATGGATACGAGATCTGGACCATAAGGAAGGTTGAGCGAAGGAAGATAGACACTTTTAGACTGTGATTCTGGAGGAAAATGCTGAGAGTGCCTTGGAATGCAAGAAGATCAAACAAATCCATACTCCAGGGGGAAAAAGCTCGACTGCTCATTGGAGGGATGGATATTTGAGGCAAAGATGAAGTACTTTGGCCACATAATGAGAAGACAGGAAAGCTTAGAGAAGACAATGATGCTGGCGGAAAAGAAAGGAAAAAGGAAGAGGGGCTGACCAAAGGCAAGATGGATGGATGGTATCCTTGAAGTGACTGGCTTTAACTTGAAGGAGATGGGGGTGGCAACCCATGACAGGTAGCTCTGGCGTGGGCTGGTCCATGAGGTCACAAAGAGGCAGAAGCGACCAAACAAATAAACAACAAAAAGTCCTTTCCTTATAAAGCACAAATTGACTTCTATGAAAAAGTTACTTATGGAGATGTACACACTGTACAAGCTGGGTTTAGAAAAGGCAGAGGAACGAGAGACCAAATTGTCAATATCCGCTGGATAATTGAGAAAGGCAGGGAGTTTCAGAAAAACATCTATTTCTATTTTATTGACTATTCTAAAGCCTTTGACTCTGTGGATCATAATAAATTGTGGCAAGTACTTGGTGGTATGGGAATACTAAATCACCTTGTCTGTCTCCTGACAAATCTGTATAACGACCAAGTAGCAACAGTAACAACTGACCATGGAACAACAGACTGGTTCAAGATTGGGAAAGGTATACGGCAGGATTGTATACTCTCACCCAACCTATTCAACTTGTATGCAGAACACATTGTGCGATGTACGGGGCTTGACGAATCCAAGGCTGATGTGAAAATTGCTGGAAGAAACATTAACAACCTTCGATATGCAGATGATGCCACTTTGATGGCTGAAAGTGAGGAGGAACTAAGGAGCCTTCCAACCAAGGTAAAAGAAAAAAGTGCAAAAGCTGGGTTGCAGTTAAAACATTTTTAAAAATCAAGATTATGGCAACCAGACTGATTGATAACTGGCAAATAGAGGGAGAAAACGTGGAGGCCATGACTTACTTTTTATTTCTAGTTGCAAAGATTACTGCAGATGCAGACTGCAGCCAGGAAATCAGAAGATGTTTCCTTCTTGGGAGGAGAGCAATAACCAATCTCGATAAAATAGTGAAGAGTAGAAACATCACACTGGCAACAAAGATCTGCATAGTCAAAGCAATGGTATTCCCCATAGTAACCTATGGATGTGAGAGCTGGACCATAAGGAAGGCTGAGCGAAGGAAGATAGACACTTTTGGACTGTGATGCTGGAGGAAAATGCTGTGAGTGCCTTGGATTACAAGAAGATCAAACGAATCCATACTCCAGGGAAAAAAAGCCTGACTGCTCATTGGAGGGAAGGATAGTAGAGGCAAAGATGAAGTACAGGATGAGGCAGCATAACTTCCTTTTTTCAAAACTTAATAAAACCCATTGTATGAATCAGATTTTTTGATTTTTTTTATAATGTAGGCGCATACCTAAAGTTTTGTTTTACATAGTTTTGAAGATCAAATTAGGTAGGTGACGTCCCCCATTTTCCATTCTCCATACACTAAGTAAACCGATTTATGGCGTTTGTCGTGACTCTTGCCAGCATAGCAGGCGTTATGTTGGCAATGTCTTCCTGGATGTTGGTCTTCAAATCTTGTAGGGTCCTTGGACGGCTCACATAAACACAGGATTTCAAAAAAAAAAAAACCCCATAGAAAAACATCACAAGAGGCCAAATCTGGAGAGCGGGGTCAGCCACTCCAAATCCGCTCGAAAAGTAGGCCTCAATGGCAAAAGCACGCACCTCACTGTTCCATTACATGATGACAACTAAACTGTGTCAGGACAAAACTTTATACTCCCACCTCTCAAACGAGACCACTAGCGCTCCACTATGTCTTCAACCGACTGAATGGCGCGCATTTTAAAAAAGGACGTTATGCTGCCTCACCCTGTACTTTGGCCACATAAAGAGAAGACAGGAAAGCTTAGAGAAGACAATGATGCCGGGGAGAAAGGAAGGAAAAAGGAAGAGGGGCTGACCAAAGGCAAGATGGATGGATGGTATCCTTGAAGGTTTTTTTTTTTTTTTGGGTCGTGTCAGGAGCATCCTGTTGTGAGAGAATTGGCCGTCTACAAGGACATTGCCCAGGGGACGCCATGATGATTTTGATGTTTTATCATCCTTGTGTGACTGGCTTTAACTTGAAGGAGATGGGGGTGGCAACCCATGACAGGGAGCTCTGGCGTGGGCTGGTCCATGAGGTCACAAAAAGTCAGAAGCGACTGAACAAATAAACAACAAAAGAAGCCCTTTCCTTATAAAGCACAAATTGGCTTTTATAAAACGTTACTCATGGAGATGTATAACTTCTCTGCTTTACCAAAGTTCTGCCTCCACATCTCCATGAGTAACTCTGTATAAAAGCTCTCCTGCCTGGGCAGTTTCTTCATCCAGTCCCATGCACAATCCCCTCTTTCTGTATGTCTGGGTAGTGCATTGTCTGGGTAGTTTAGATCTTCCCTTTTAATTGAGTGGACTGGAAGGAAATTAGAACAAAAAATAGGTAAAGACAGAGGCCCCCATGTGCTATCTGCCTGTAAGATATCTTCACTTGGAACTCCCATCTGGTTTTGCACATTCATTTCAAAGTGTAGGTGAAAACCATGTTTTCATATTTTGTGAATGTAATTTAGTTTCCTTGTTCCCAAAAGCCTGAGACATACTTCCTGGAGGATTGACAGAATATTTAGAGAGAATCAAAAGTTCCTGATCTTTTTAGTAGCCTGTGTTTGCAAAGTTTGGACCAGACTGTAGGAAGAATGCCACCCAGCATCCAGTCTACCCCCTTTTTTCCTTCTTTCGGTGACCTCATTGTGCTTTTATCATATTATTTCTTCTAGCCGTGAGAAAGATACTAGAGTCAAAATTATGTGCAATAACGAATAGTGTGGAAGTGGCCCAATGCATAGTTGCCAAGCCCACTACCACTACTCTTCAAGAATCAGAACAGAAGTGCACTGAATGCCAGCATTCTAGATGGGACATTCTGACTTACTGTTCTTTGGTTCCCTTTCAGAGAAAACAATGCATTTCCACTCCCTCCCAGATGGGCAGAAGCTTGGTGGGGAGCCGGTCATCACTACCTGCTGGCCTCCGTACCAAGGAACATCAAGGGATGTGATTCGAAGTTCTCCACATGCAGAACCCCATGTGTTTCAGTACAACCCCCCAGGTGAGTCAGACAGGTTTACATTTATGTCCACACTGACTAGTTTTCGGTTCTCTAGCTTTGTAGAGGTACATGAACTGATGCAGGTAGTGGTTTTGCCATCGACATCGGTGGATCTGTGACTCTGTGAAGTGGAAGAACCCATTAAAGTAAGTAGAGAACAGCAAAAAGAATTGCAGGAAGAAATCCAGTCTTAACCTGGATGCTTTTTAGAGCATGGCTGCATAACATATGGGTTGCCAACCAAAACAAACGCTGGTAGAGATGTTTTGTAGTTGGACAGGTGCATTGTAATCTCTCTTGCTTTTAGACAGTCAACAAACCCAGATTTACAGAGTCTTGGGCAAAACACTCACCCACAACCAAGAGCCTGTTGTGGTTAAGTGGGGCACCAGTTGTGTAAACTGGGCATTGATTATTATAGTTTCATAACCTACTTTGAGACAAAGTAGATCTTTATTGTGAAAAAACAACGCCATTTAAAAATATGTTTTTCTTTTTCTTTTATTCTGTATTCAGGTCACCCAGTCTCTTTAAATGTACATGAAAGCTCTCGCCCCTGTCTCCAGAGGTTGTCTGCCATCTCAAACCCCCCTCCTCTCATCTCCACCAAACATCCCTCAGTTCTTGAAAGGCCCCTTGGCTCTATTTCTCAGGTAAATGCTTTGGCATTGGTGCGTGGAGGATGCATGGAAAATGCTCTCTGTTGGTCAATGTGGTCTTCTTTGCCTGATCTGCACTTTAGATCCCACAGGTGAAGAGTACTGAATGGAAGAATAGCATGAGTGAGTGGATGCATCTTGCAGTTTCTCATGAAGAAACAAGTCCCTGCCATTAAGTAATTTATAATTTAATATAAGTGGTGAACAAAACAACAAGGATGGTGTGAGCGAAAGTCCAGGGTAGGAAAGGATAAGTACAGTGTTCCCTCGCTACTTCGCGGTTCGCTTTTCGCGGACTTGCTGTTTTGCAGTTTTTCCAAAAAGGGAGGAAAGGGATGAGATCACAGAAAGAAGAAGAGAAAGAGGAGGAGGAGGAGGAAGAGAAGAAAGCCATGCCATGCCGGCCTCTGCAAAGTGCTGCCTCCTCTTCCTTCCTCCTCTCCTCTACTTCCTCTCTTTCTCCTCCCTCCTTCTTTCTCTCCTCTTTTCCCTCCCTTTTGCCCTCCTCTCCTTCGCCTACCAGAGCTTGGGATGCGATGGCAACCTTTTTCTGTCTGTCTTCCTTCCTTCCTTCCTTCCTTCCTTCCTTCCTTCCTTCCTTCCTTCCTTCCTTCCTTCCTTCCTCTCTTTCTCCTTGCGTGCCCCCTCCTTTCTCGCTTTCTCACTTTCCAGCCACAAAGTCCGCCCGAGATGAAGAGGAGGAGGAGGAAAGGGAAGGCTTGGCCCTCTTTTTCTCTCTTGGATGGTCCCTCCCACCTCTGATGCGCGACAATACTGGGGCAACAGCTCCCACCAGCAAAAGCAAAACGGCAAAGGCTATTATATCTATCTATATATATAGAGAGAGAGAGAGAGAGCGTCCCTACTTCATAGATTTTCACGTTTCACGGGTGGTCCTGGAACGTAACACCTGCGATAAGTGGGAACACTGTATAGGCAAATGATTACACTTAAGAATGAGGATTACATACAAAGAAATATTTGCAGAATGATGGAGGTGTGCAACCATACACATGTTCAAGAAACTTAGTGGTGCAACAAAGAGCGTAGAAATATACTTAAACCTCTTGCAGGAACATAATCAGAAAGAAAACTTGAAGTATATGATGAGACCGGGCCACTGAGCACTTTCAAGTATCTATTCTTTGTATTGATCTCTTCACTGCTTCCCCATTAGCTTTGAAGCCATTGTCAAATCTATATGAATGGTATTGTTCTCCTGACAGTTATGTCTTTTTAGTTTTTCTTTATCAAGTAATTCCATCTGCTACCAGCTTGCTTTCCCTAGTCTGTATTTAGACCTTATGAAATGACCCTTTATCTGGGAACTCACTCTGCCCTTTTCTCATAAACACATTACTTTATGTAGTCTATCACCAGGAAGGGGGTACATATAAAAAGCCAATCCAGATGTTGTGGGGGGAAATGAGTCCTGTACTTTGTGTATTATGCAAATATTGCACATATTTGCTTTGGTTTTGCATTCTAGTTCTGGCTTCATCAGTAGTCTACCCCCACAATATACTACTGAAAGCAGTCCAAAAAAACTAGAGAAACATTTTTTAAAATAGAATTTTGCTTTCTGAGAATAATTTGAGGCTCAATATCAGTTTTTGTGTATTTGCAATGTAAGTGTGGGGTAAAAGTATTCCTAACCAGTAACTTTATAGAATTTTGAAAGAACAAGCCAACAATAGTAGCATACTGTATGCTCTTCCCATTCAAAAACGTGCACGTTGTGAGATGTTTCCAGATGCTGTTATTTAATACATGCTGTGACTAGGATCTCTTCCTTTTCGTCCTTTTCCATGTCCTATTCTTTATCCCTTCCTTGGTTCATGAATTTTTATTTCTTATTTTTAGTCTAGAATTATGTGCCTACGGTTGCCTCTCATGCAGTAATTGCTCATGTCAACAGGTGTAATTGGTATCTTTTATTTGGGGCATTTCTCATTTGAGATTGTGTAATTTCAGGACTGCATTTGATACTTTTTGCTTTTGGTGCAGTCTGGACTTATGTCTCCATAACAAACGCTTTTTGGTATACCTTTGTTTTAGGGGGTGCCTCACCAGCTTCAGACTCCCTTCAGCTCTGAGCACGCAAAAGTCCCCATTGGCTCTATGGCCATGGGTCTGCCTGCGGCGATGGACCTCAAGAAGCTGGGTAAGACAAGCGGCACTCACCATTCTGATATTAATATTGGACCCTCTGCTGTTAAATCAGTATGAAGAAAGTCAAACAAGAATGAACTGAAAGTGCAAAAATTAATTCCTTTGGTCTGCAATGCCATGAAGTTACAACCTTGCTATATGTGTCCATATTTTTCAGCCCCTTTCCCTGGAGTGAAGCAGGAGCAGCTCTCTCCTCGGAGTCAGGCTGGTCAACCAGAAGGCTTGGTTGTGCAGACATCACAAGAAAACTCTGTTCTCCGAGGTAAGGAGATCACAGTGTGCAAGCTGAGGGGCTTACCTCTAGGTGTAACTCTCATGTTTCCCACAACTGATTGTGAGAGTTGCATTCCTGTGTCAATAACAACAATCTGAACGATTCAGAAATGTATCGCTGATGTTGTGCATCTCTTTTGTGGTGCCTTTAAGAGCCTACCCACCCCAAGCAGGCATTTTTGTGGCATCAATTGATGGATCAATTTAGTGTTTGTAACAGTTATAGCTCACGTGTGATGTGGCTACTAAAAAAGTTAATGCAGTTCTAGGCTACATTAACAGGATTACAGTGTCAAGATTGAGGGAAGACATAGTCCCACTCTATTCTGTTTTGGTCACCTGGAATAATAACCCTGTGTCCAGTCCTGGGCAAAGCAATTCAAGAAGGATATGGATAGGTTAGAACTTGTCTAGATTAGAGTGACCAAAATGGCCAAAGGTTTGGAAACCAAGACTTAGCAAGGTGGGCATGTTTAGGTTGAGAGGAAACATGAGAACCATGCTTAAATATTTGAAAGGATGTCATATTGAAGATGGAACAAGCCTGTTTTCGGCTGCTTTAGAGACTAAGGCACAATGAAGAATTGGATTCAAACAACAGGAGAAGAGATTCCACCTAAACATAATAATAATAATAATAATAATAATAATAATAATAATTGTTATCATTATCTTTATTTATATCCTGCCTTTCTCCCTGTGGGGACTCAAGTCAGCTAACATCTATCCACACTAAACAGTTTTAAAAGAGCAATGCAAAAGTTTAAAAAACAAATAATAATAGTGTGGTAAAAGCAGAATTAAAATACAGCAAATACATTAAAATGGCCTTTAAAACTCATAAGCCCCCCTCCTCAGAGCCTCCCCTTCCCTAAAATCCTGTTGGCAGAGGAAGGTCTTGACCAGCTTGTGGAAGGCCATCAGGGATGGAACTATTCTGGTTTTTGTTGGGAGCGAGTTCCACAGTCTGGGATTAGAAGAACTTCTTGACGGTAGAATACACTCCCTGGGAGTTTCCTTCTCTGAAAGGCATTGGTCGGGAGGGCTTTGATTGTACAGTCCTGCATGGTGAAATGGAGTTGGACTGAATGACCCTGGGGTTTCTTCCAACTCTATGATTCTGGTCTGCACAAACAAGGCAGCTTCTATTAAAACAGTGCAAATACATAAAATATTAAAAATTGAAACCACTATGTACTCGTGAAAATAGCCCCTAGATAGTTTTAAGCACTTTCCATGTCAAGTGAGGTCATTTGGCACAGGTTTACCCAAACAATAAGGCCTTTGCCTGTCAGTAGAAGGACAACAGATAGGGAGCCATCGAGAGTCTCCTTAAGCATGTTCTAGACCTGAGAGCAGCCATTAATGATCCATACTAGTGGATATGCCTCAGAAGTTGATGGGATAGAAAGAAGGTTCTTCCCAAAGATCTCAAAACCTTGCAGGGCGATACAAGAGAATACAATCCTTCAGACCATAGGCTTTTTGAAGTTGTGTCAACTTTTTGCCTATAAGCTTTTCTGGATGACCAAGGTTCTAGTCAGCTAAAGTTCTTTTGCACCCCTTGGCCCCACTCCCAATTTCCAATGGAGTGTTAATGTTTACATGCAGAGATACTTTGCGCTAACACTTCACAACCCACATTGAGCAACACTTTAATGATTGGGTGCCATTGTACAGTGAGTAGTGTACAAGTGCAGAGCCTAACTACAATGTGCAGCATTCATTTCCACTGCTGTCAGTACAATACTTACGTTGGAATAATTCTCGATTAATACATAGTACAACTTCCTTGTGTATATATCACTAACAGAATGCCAGCCCTTATCTGTCAGGAGTTGAAGATTTAAGATAGGACTGGAAAGCTACCTCAGTGATATAACGACAGTGTGGTACACTTCAGGTTCAACCTTTTATATCTGTCATCCAGCGAACCTTTTGCCAGGCAGAATAGATAGTCCTGTGCTAGATGGAGGTTTGACCTGATACAAGGGGCAGCTCTTGATGTTCCTGCATACCATCCTGATCTCTTCCGTGCTGAAAGGTGTCTGGATAGGCATGGCCTCCATCAGAGCCTTCACTTGCAATGGTTAGTCTCCTCCAGGCTTGCAGCCCTTCTGATTTGGTTCTGTCTTGCAGGTACGTCCTTGGGATCTATGTCGGGAGGAAGCATCACAAAAGGCATCCCCAGCACAAGGCCAGCTTCAGACTCCCCCATCACATATCGAGGCTCTATCACGCATGTAGGTCTCTACTTTGCCATTGTTTTGAGGCTCTTTTTGGGGGTTGGTTGAAAACAGATGAGAGTTTAGGAAGATAGGATGTCTGCCATTCTGATGCTGCTTCTTATGATGATGGACTGGATGCAGGGAAGAATGTGGATGAGAGTGTATTCATAGCTAATGGGGAAGTACACGTGTCTAGTCTTCACCTAGTGTAGGTTTTTAACATTTAGGAGGGAGATAAAATATTCTCATTTCTCTGAAGTAGTACCCTTCCATCCAGATTTTACATCCAGATTTTTATTTGTGGGTATCCTGTTGTAGAAATATATAAATACAACCTCATTTTTCAACTCCTGCCTATAGGTAACTGTGATTGTATTTATTACATCTGCAATAATACCACACTGAAATTTGAGGACCTGAAAGAGCCCTGTGGTTAAAATACCATGAATCAAATTCATGGCTGCTAAGGGGCTACCTAGTTTGCACAAAACATGATTACAACTTTAGAAGTAAGGTCTTGTATACTTAAAAGAGAGTAATTCCTATTGATGATTGAAGTACTTTTCAAAGAGAGACAGATTTGTTCACCTATACATTTTGAAGTTATCATATTACAGCTATATTAAACTCACTACACAGGCTGCCAATTACTTTCTGGGCAAAGTACAAAGGGGTGGTTGTTGTATTTATAGTCCTAGATGTTTTGGGTCCAGGTTACTTGTAGGATAGACTTCTCCTCCTGTATAATCCACCCCTTAGGACTCTCCGTTCCTCTGGCAGATGCTTACTGCAGTCAGCTAGAACCAGGTAGACAATGATCACCCAGAGGACTGTTTTTTCAGCTGCCCCTAAACTGGGGAAAGATCTGTCAGAAGAGATTTGACAGCTGTGTTATCTGAATTTAAGACAGGAATAAAGACCTGCCTCCAAGCAGGCCTATCCATATTATTTTTAAATTATGAATTCTAAATTATGTTCTGGTTGTTTTGAGAACTTTCTGATACTGAGAGATGTTTGACAGTGAAATATGCTGCCTCATAATGTGGTGGAATCTTCTGGAGTGTTTTATTGTGGAGTTCCTGCCCGGCAGGGGGTTGGACTAGATGGCCCCTAGGCATCTCTTCCAGCAGTATGATTCTAATATGCATTGATTGTATATGTTCTCTTAGACTGAGGTTTAACTGGGTTGTACATATTTAACTGATGATTCATGTTGTATTTTAATATGTTGCTGTTCAATCCACAAGGAGAGGCCGGTAAGATAAGGGTGGTGGTGATGATGGCGATGGTGATGTTAATGCTGATATTACACAGTCCAACCAGAAAACAATCCCTGTTCATGGTGTCTTGGTTTTTAGGGCTGTTCCTGGGATTCAGAAAATTGCATTGGAGAGACTGCATCCGCTGGTTTATGGCATATGTTCAGTATCTCAAAAATAGAGCTGATAGGGCAAACTGGTGCAATTTCTGGAATCTGCAGCTTAAATATGCCCAGAAACAGGGTTAACATTTAAGACACCCAAATGTGTGTTGGCTGCTATTATTATTATTGGTTCTGCATTTAGCAAGTATGATCTAGCAGAGGCGCATTGCAAAGTATAATAATCTACTGATGCTCAGTTCCATCTTCTGCCAGCTTTTTTAGAGAAACAATTTTTATGGGATGTTCCAAAGCAACTGGAGTTCCAAAGCGTTCCCATCTCTGGAATAGATATTACTGGCCTAGATAAATTCATGGTTTGATCTGATATAATGGGATTTCATTGATTATTTTAGAAGGAATTTTCTTTCACAAATCCAGATCTGTGCCTCAAGTACAGCAATGTAGAAGCCTAGTGGTCTCTTTGTACACTGAAGAGATTCAAGGCTGGTGAGAGGGCTCAAATAAACCGGGGACATTGGTTTGTAAAGATCAATGTGAAATGCTGCCCGGGGGACCTTGACATGGTCAAACGAAGGTTCAAATCTGTGTCTGTTGTGTATGCATCCATTCCAGCTCTATGTTTCCTCAGGCTTATGAGATTTGATGCCAGAGTTGCAGCTCTTCCTTGGCCTGCCATGCCTGCCTCTTTCATCTTCAGCTTAACCCTGTCACTTCCCAGAAAACTTAAGCTGAAACCCATTTTCCCCTCCCTGCCTCATCTCCGCTGCCAAAACTCCAGTTCTCGATTATTGTGCTTTTCAATAATTAAGCTGTAAGTTTCCTGCGATCAGTTGTGACAGGAAGCCAAGTTCTGGGCTGGCATTTGCTTGTTCTCACTCCCTTTTGTTCGGCCTGTCTCTTGGAACAGAGTGTTCATCTGTCTCGCTCTGTGGTGCGTGTGGATGCGTGCTTTGCTTCTGCCTTAATTGCTTCTGACACCGTTAAATACAGATCTTGGTCTTTTTCCAAGGGCACCCCAGCCGAAGTGCTGTACAAAGGAACCATTACGAGGATAATTGGAGAAGACAGCCCCAGCAGAGCCGAGAAAGTGAGAGAAGATGCCTTGCCCAAGGGACATGTCATTTACGAGGGGAAGAAGGGACACGTCCTGACCTACGATGGTGAGCTGGAATCCCTCTCCCCTTTGACAGGATGCATGCTTTCCTTCACTGCGTGGAGGGAAGGCTCCTCAGAGAGATACTGCCAAGGCCAGTCTCTTTAAACTTCATGCATATCCATAAAGGAATAGCATAGCCTTGGTTCAACCCTGATCATACTAACGTAGTGTAGAGAGAAGGCTTTGGCCCTACTTGAGCCTCAAGTTCAAACACCCACCCCATCCTCAAGGACACAGAGAAGGAAGAGCTTAGGAAAATGTTACGTTGGGTTCTACTGCAGTTAATTTAAATATTCAAAATCAGTCATGGTTAAATTATTATGGGAAATAACTCTTTTGAAGCCTAGAGTGAATGCCCAACTTTATTTTCAAGACACTCCAGGACTTCAGATGTCTCAATTGAATATTAGCTGTGGATAGAAAGAGAGAATAGCTTTAAAATAAATAAATGGGTGAGGATGAGTTCTGACGAACAGGAAGACAGGAATGGTGCCATCTCCACACATCAATGCCTTGATCATCCATAAGAGTCAAAGAGCACTTCTGAGACAACATTGGGCAGTGTGTGTCAGCAGAATGGGACAAGATTGGTTATTGGGATTGCTAATGATGCTTCCTTGAGGAAGCTAAATGTTTACAGAATTGTCTTCTTTCTCTTTTGTCCCACTTTGCCAGGAGTAGGCTGGGGTGGGGTGAGGGGCTCAGGCGAAATGTATTGCTCCTTAGCTTGGAAACTGTTTGGAGCAGATGTTCCTAGGTGACAGGATGCAGCAAAGTTGTGCAAATGTGCATGCGCACACCATGTGCCACAACTGTCCTTTGGTGAACACTGACCACATAATAATAATAATAATAATAATAATAATAATAATAATAATAATAATACCTTTATTTATACCCCGCCTCCATCTCCCCAAGGGACTCGGAGCGGCTTACATGAGGCCAAGCCCAACAACACATCAATAAACAAGAAAGCAGTAAACAAAAAATAACAACAATACAGTTAAATAAATCACATATAAACATTAACATGCCAGGATTTTAAAAACTATGGCCGGGTCGGATGTAATAGTTAAAAATTAAAAAATAAATGCTGGGCATGAACAAGGTAGGATATATCTAATAGGAGGGTTTTAAAGAAGTGAGGGGAGCGCAATCCTAGCTGGTAGTTAAAATGCATTTGAGGACATTTTGATGGGAATTATTCCTTATTCTGAGAAAGCACACTGGAACAGCCACATTTTCAGGCTCCTCCTAAAGACTGGCAATGTTGGGGCATGCCTGATATCCCTGAGAAGTGAGTTCTAGAGTCGGGGGCAACCACCGAGAAGGCCCTCCCTCGTCCCCACCAATCACGCCTGCGAGGGAGGTGGGAGCGAGAGCAGGGCCTCTCCAGATGAACGAAGAGACCGTGTGGGTTTGTACACAGAAATGCGGTCACGCAGGTAGGCGGGTTCCAAACTGTTCAGGGTTTTGTAGGTAAGAACCTGCACCTTGAATTGGGATCGGAAAATGAATGGCAGCCAGTGTAGCTCCTTAAACAGGGGGGTTGACCGCTCCCTGTAAGTCGCACCAGTTAGTAACCTGGCTGCCACCCGTTGTACCAGTTGGAATTTCCAGGCCGTCTTCAAGGGCAGCCCCACGTAGGGTGCATTACAGTAATCCAATCTGGAGATGACTAAAGCATGGACCACCCTGGCCAGATCCGACTTCATGAGGTACGGTCGCAGCTGGCGCACGAGTCTTAATTGTGCGAAAGCCCTCCCGGCCACCGCCAACCCCTGAGTGATGAGTCCAGGAGGACACCCAAGCTGTGGACCTATGACATCAGGGGGAGTGCAACCCCATCCAGCACAGGTTGCCACCCTATACCCCGATCCGGCTTACGATCGACCAGGAGGACTTCTGTCTTGTCAGGATTTATCCTCAGCTTATTCATCCTCATCCAGACAGCCACAGCGGCCAGGCACTCGTTCAGCACCCGAGGGGCTTCCTTGGAGTTAGGTGGAAAAGAGTAGTAGAGTTGCGTGTCATCTGCGTAGAGATGGCACCCAACTCCAAAACTCCGGATGACTTCTCCCAGCGGTTTCATGTAGATATTAAAAAGCATGAGAGACAGAATGGAACCTTGCGGGACCCCACAGGTCAAAGGCCAGGGGTCCGAGCAGGTGTCTCCCAGCTTCACCATCTGGGAACGGCCCTACAGGAAGGACCGGAGCACGACAGAGCCTTGTCCCTAAGGCCCATTCCGGAGAGTCGTCCCAGAAGGATACCATGGTTGATGATATCGAAAGCCGCTGAGATGTCCAAGAGAACCAGCAGGTTCACACTCCCCCTGTCCAGCTCCCTACGGAAGTCATCCACGAAGACAACCAAAGCCGTCTCGGTGCCGTGACCAGGCCTGAAGCCATTCTGTGACTGTTCCAGATAATCGATGTCATCTAAGAATCCCTGGAGCTGAGAAGCGACCACCCGCTCCAGCACCTTGCCCAAGAAAGGGAGGTTGGAGATTGGTCTGTAGTTGCTCAAGACCGTGGAGTCAAGGGAGGCCTTTTTCAGGAGAGGTCTGACCACAGCCTGTTTCAAACCAGATGGAAATGTCCCCTGCTCCAACAATGCATTAATGATCAGCACAAACCAATCAATAAATCCACCTCTAGCCGATTTAATTAGCCAAAAAGGACAAGGGTCCAGAGCTGACATCACCCTCACAGCCCCAAGGACCCCCTCCACATTATCAGGATGAACCAGCTGGAAAGAATCATAGAATCATAGAATCAAAGAGTTGGAAGAGACCTCATGGTCCATCCAGTCCAACCCCCTGCCAAGAAGCAGGAATATTGCATTCAAATCACCCCTGACAAATGGCCATCCAGCCTCTGCTTAAAAGCTTCCAATGAAGGAGCCTCCACCACACTCCGGGGTAGAGAGTTCCACTGCTGAACGGCTCTCACAGTCAGGAAGTTCTTCTTAATGTTCAGATGGAATCTCCTCTCTTGTAGTTTGAAGCCATTGTTCCGCGTCCTAGTCTCCAAGGAAGCAGAAAACAAGAATCCCACAAAACCGGACGAGCAGATGCCTCGGTCACCTCCTCTGGTACTGTATTTAAGCTGGTCTCTAACTTGAGGCATATCTGAGTGACTTTATCTGCAAAGTGGTGCGTAAAATTGCAACACCGAGCTGCCGGGTCGTCAGTGGCCACCTCAGGGGGGTGAAGGAGCTCCCCAACGACCCGAAACAGCTCCGAAGATCTATTGGATGCAGACGCTATACGGGCAATCAAGAAAGTCTCCTTGGCTGTCTGTATAGGAGCGGTATAGGCCCTAAGTGAGGCTCTAGCCTGTGTTTGGTCGGAGAGCCTTGAGATTTTCTCCAGATGCACTCTAGGCCTCTTCTCGTGCGCTTCATCACAGCCAACGCCTCAGTGAACCAAGGAGATGGTGTGTCTCTGCGCAGCAAGAGGGGACGTTCGGGAGCGATCGTGTCTATCACCCTGGACATCTCGCTGTTATAGCGATCAACCAGGGCGTCGACAGGATCGCCAGCCTCCATGACAGGAAGAACCCCGAGATTCCTCAGGAATCCATCTGGATCCATCAGTCTCCTGGGGCAGACCCTCTTAATTGGTCCTCCACCCCTGCGAAGGTTAGAGGTCACAGCAAGTCTAAAACTGATCAGATGATGGTCAGACCATGACAATGGAAGAATATTTTGCTCTTCCACTCTGACCGTTCCGCTGTCCGCAATGAAAACTAGGTCGAGTGTATGTCCAGCCTGATGGGTAGGTCCAGATATAACTTGTGATAAGCCCCATGGTCGTCATGGCAACCATGAAGTCATGAGCCACACCTGTTAAAGTGGTCTCTGCATGAATGTTAAAGTCCCCCGGCACAATCAAGTGCTGGGAGACCAGAGCCGAATTGGAGACCACATCTGCTAGCTCTGACAGGGAGACTGCTGAGTCGCGGAGTGGACGGTACACCAGTAGAATCCCCAAGCTATCACGGTATCCCACCCTCAGGTGAACACACTCAAACTCGGAAGATTGCGGAACAGCACATCTGATCACGGAGATGGACTGCTCAAAGACTACTGCAACCCCTCCTCCTAGCCTGCTGGTGCACCCCAAAGCCAGGTGGGCACAGCTGGGTGAGATTTACCCCACCCGGCTTGTCCAACCAGGTCTCAGGGATGCAAGCCAGGTCCGCCCCCTCATCTAGGATCAAGTTCTGGATGGCAGCTGTTTTTCCGTTGACGGACCTGGCGTTTACCAGCAGGATCTTAAGTCCAGGGGGGTCTGTCATGGGGTCTACCACATCCTACTTTCTCCAGGGTCTCAAGAACTCTGTTGCGCTTCTCCCTGGTATATTAGTGACCAGCATTTCTCCTCCCCCACACAACCTGAATGGTGCCCACCCCCTCCAGAACCTCCCCTCCCCCTGGAAATTGGATTTAGTGGCTAGTCAGCTCTTTGAGCAAGGGGAGCTAGTTTGTGACCTACTATGAAGGTCGTGTGAGGATGTCTCTAGTGATGTAGAGAAAAGGGAGTTATCACGGGAACTGAGAGGGCTAAAAAGAGGGAGTGTCCTTGGGCAGGAGAGTGTGACGGATTGAGAAGGGACTACAGGTGCAGACGGGGTTTCAAATTGATACTGTGGGGGTGGGGGGGGAGCTATTTGTGGATTTGTTACTGGAACCAGATGGATCATGGTGAGAAGGTTCCATGCTGTCAATGAGGGGGCAAACATAGGGATCCACAAACACCTTTCTGATGGTAATGCCCCATTCTTTTAAGCAAGGTTGAATTGCTAATAGCTCACCAAGCCATGAATTGTCCTCAGGTGTAATAAGAAGACAGGTAGAGTGATCACATGATTGATAGTCTCTACGTAACCATGTTATGGCCTCCACTCTGACTTCTGATGGCCTCTTTGATAAAATTTGAGCCAGAGATTTGCAGACCACCCTCCTTGAGGTCCACCTGCCTCTATTGATTATTAAATCAGCAATGTCCACCCCAAAATTGTGTTTGCAAGAGATGTTGGTTTTGGCAAAAAAAAAACTGTGGTAGGGTGAGCAATAGAGTCTGATGTCATGTTAGCAGTTGTCCTCTGAAGGTCCGTAATTATCTCCTGCCAATCAGGACCCTCCTGGTTCCTATGAGTACAAGAAAGCCCTCCCATTCCCTCAGTCCCAGATTCTACCCTTTCTTCCATCTTGAGATCCAGTGGCCCTCTTTCTCCTGCTGAGCAAGAGTCCTCAATTAAGTCTACAAATGTAGGATTGTCCACCCTCGGGGGGTCATATTGCGCAGGCGTTTTGATGATGAGAGCAGTTCCTTTAAAGAGGTGATTATTTGAAGGTTGAAGTAGTCAGAAAGAGTGGCAAGAGTTTAAAGTCCCTCCATAACTGTATTTCCTGTTAAGTTGCTGAGTTGGAGAGAAAAGAAACAAAGTTAAAAGTGAAGGTGGGTTATAGAAGACTCAAGCTGAGTCACTGAGTACAGAAAATAAGCTTCGCCTTGCCGTCCTGGCCTCCTTTCTTGTTTCTCTCTCTTATCCGTGTCCAGCCTTCTGTTTCTGGGCAAGATACTGGATCATGTGGTGGCCTCCCAACTCTAGGGATGAAACAGATTATCGAGATCCATTTCAATCTGGTTTCAGCCCTAGTTATTTATTTATTTATTTATTTACTTTATTTGTATACCGCACTATCTCAGCCCGTAGGCGACTCAGTGCGGTTTACAACAGGTCAATATACAAAGTGCACAGCATTAACATTAACATTTACACAGTACTAAAGCAATTAAAACAATACAACAGTGCATCAATAAATCAACATAACATCAATACATCCATATAACTAATCCATCACGTCTCATCAGTAAAGTCATAATCCGATCTCCTCGTCTATTATTCCAAGTTCCAAAATCAGTCAGTTGATTGCACTGCTTAATTAAACGCCTGTTCGAAGAGCCAGGTCTTCACTCTTCTCCTGAACACCAGTAGGGAGGGAGCCGATCTAATGTCTGCGGGGAGGGCGTTCCACAGCCGAGGGGCCACCACTGAGAAGGCCCTGTCTCTCGTCCCCGCCAGCCGTGCTTGTGAGGCTGGCGGGATCGAGAGCAGGGCCTCCCCGGACGATCTTAATGTCCTAACTGGTTCATAGGGGGTGATGCGTTCGGACAGGTAGGTCGGGCCAGAACCGTTTAGGGCTTTAAAGGCTAAAGCCAGCACTTTGAATTGTGCCCGGTAGCAAATTGGCAGCCAGTGGAGCTGGCGCAACAGAGGAGTGGTGTGCTCCCTGAGTGCCGCTCCTGTTAACAACCTGGCTGCCGATCGTTGGACCATTTGTAGCTTCCGAGCCGTCTTCAAAGGCAACCCCACGTAGAGAGCGTTGCAGTAATCTATACGGGATGTAACCAGTGCGTGGACTACCGTGGCCAAGTCAGACTTCCCAAGGTACGGGCGCAGCTGGCACACGAGCCTGAGCTGTGCAAATGCTCCCCTGGTCACCGCCGAAACCTGGGGTTCCAGGCTCAGCGATGAATCCAGGATCACACCCAAGCTGCGAACCTGCGTCTTCAGGGGGAGTGTAACCCCGTCCAACACAGGCTGTAACCCTATACCCTGTTCGGCCTTGCGACTGACCAGGAGTACCTCTGTCTTGCCTGGATTCAATTTCAATTTGTTCGCCCTCATCCAGACCGTTACAGCGGCCAGGCACCGGTTCAGGACCTCGACAGCCTCCTTAGTAGCAGGTGGAAAGGAGTGACAGAGTTGGACATCATCTGCGTACAGATGACACCGTACCCCGAAACTCCGGATGATCTCACCAGAGACTCTCATGTAGATGTTAAACAACATAGGAGACAGTATAGAGCCCTGAGGAACCCCACAAGACAATGGTTGTGAGGTAGAACAGGTGTCTCCCAATAACACCTTCTGGGATCGGCCCTCAAGGAAGGACTGGAGCCACTGCAAGACAGTTCCTCCAAGGCCCATTCCCGCGAGGCGTCCCAGAAGGATACCGTGGTCGACGGTATCGAAGGCCGCTGAGAGGTCCAGCAGAACCAACAGGGACACACTCCCCCTGTCGAGCTCCCGGCGTAGATCATCCACTAAGGCGACCAAGACTGTCTCGGTTCCATGTCCCGGTCTGAAGCCAGACTGCGCCGGATCCAGATAATCCCTGTAGCCAGACTGCACTGTAGTTATGGGCACAGAACAGCTTTAGTTGCCTTGGTGGGTGATTTAAATGAGGAACTGGATAAGGGGTGTGTTTCCCTGTTGGTTTAACTGGGCCTCTTGGTGGCTTCGGTACCCTAAATCATGGTACCCTCGAAGGTGGTGCTAGGAGCCTCAAGCATTTATGGATGTTCATCTTCAGTCACAAGGATCTTACCACCTCTGGGTCCCCAGTAAAGATAGGACCCTTGTGATTGAAGGTGAACATCCATAAATAACAAATATTTTGTTTGACTGGGCCTCAAGCTACTCTGAACTTAAGACAATAGTCCCCAATACAACTAGTTTGAGATTTTGGGAGAAGATGTATCCGATGTCTTGGTATCATTCTGGTCCTTGGCTGTCAGCATGCCCCTCCTGCCTTTACAGATGACTTGCTTTGTTCGGTTGTCTTCCTTCTGCAGTGTAATCCTTCAGCATTTTAAATTTCAGTTTATTTAGATAGTTTACTGATTCAGAGTGAACATTCTGACTGATGCAAACAGGCTTCTTTCGTTGTGCCCCCCACCCACAGTGGTTCTCAACTGTGGGTCCCTAGGTGTTTTGGCCTACAACTCCTAGAAATCCCAGCCAGTTTACCAGCTGTTATGATTTCTGGGAATTGAAGGCTAAAACATCTGGGGACCCACAGGTTGAGAACCACTGCCCTAAAGGAACATGCCAAGGAAACATGGGAGGCACCTTATATTCATGCTGAGGACATTCTAAAGATGTAGCCAGTGCTAAAGCTTTAAAGACATATTTTAAATCCCTACATTAGGTCTGAATGTATATCTTGGTGTTTCACTGGTCAGATGGTACGGGAGCTTGAGGGATGTGTCCAAGCATGAGGCCACCAAATGTGGAGTGCAAGTTGTAGGAGAATAATGAGTTGGTTCTCAGGAACTGGCTCCAGGCCATACTATTTAAAAACCTGCTTGACAAAGGCCTCAAAAGCATCTCTTCGTATTTGCCTGGCTCATTCATGAAAATCCTGCCATAAGTATGATGAATGCGCCGTAACCTCATAGCCTCCTGATGTAACTTTCCTGTCTATCTTTTCCTGCCTTGTTCCCACTTCTTCCAGGTGCCCTTGCTACTGTACAGTGCCCCAAAGAGAATAGTAGACACCTTGGAACCTCCCATGAGACCGGTAGCACCAAACGGACCTATGACATGATGGAAGGAAGGGTCCCACGTGGTTTATCGGGACACGAGTTATCATCTGCTAGTATTGAAGGTGGGCTTTCACAATCCTCCTTGTAAACTGGTGGAGAATACAACTCTATTGGGTCCCTTTATGTACTTGAGGATAACAGGACATTATGAAAACAAGCCAGAGTCATGGTGGAGAGGCAGTTGGGAACTCGAAAGGGCGCTTGTTTCCAAATCCATCTGAACAAATTTTATTGGAGTCGGGGGGGGGGGGGGGAAGTGCTGGGGATATACATTCTTTTGCTATAAAATGCAATCTTCCAAYCCCTGTACCAAAGTGATTTGATGCATTTTGATAGTTTTGATCTGTGCATATTATTCTATTCCTAGCTAACTCATTTTTCAGTAGTTTTGGATTTGGTACATTGGGGGGGGGGGGCGGACTCCACAGATATAATTTTGAACATAAAGTTCACTACAAATATGAAATAAACCATTCTTCCCATCAGACAAGTTTGAACCCAGTTTAGACCTYGTACATGTATACTTATTCTGCAACAGTATTTGGAATCCAGGCTCATCAAAATTACAAAAAAAAACCAACCAACCGAAAACAATCCACAAGTAAACATCTCAGAAAGTGAAAGGCCTTTGTTCTATTTTTGTGTTCTCAGTTTCCAATTGCTAAAGCATTTGACAAATGTCAATTCCCAGGAGAAGGGGTGGGAGTGTAGAACTGTGTACATCTTGAAATATCGTAACTTCTTTCTTTTGTGTGTGTGTGTGTTTGTGTGTGTGTGTTGGGGGGCACTCTAGGTCTCATGGGCCGAGCCATCCCACCAGACAGGCACAGTCCCCTCAACATAAAAGAACCACATCACATCCGGGGCTCTATCACCCAAGGTAACCACGTCAAAGGTGTAACAACGGGAATGTAAACATCTAACTGGAGTGTGCCACTTGACAGTCAGTGTCCTGGCACTGTCTCATTTCCTATCGTGTTGCAGTTGTGGTCCACTTTTGTTGCATGTCTTGAATTTAAGCAGTGAGATACTCGCAAGCTCAATCCAACTTCGAAATGGCAGCCAGCATGTCCATTGCTACCTACTCCATTCTACTGTTGTACACTGTCTCTCAGGTTGTTGTTCTTCCTCTTGTCTCTCTGGCTTCGAAAGGGTGTGGGACCTGCCAGAACAGATTTATAGCCCTCAACACACATACACACACACACTTCCCAAATCCCATTATTTTCCAGAATTAGACAGCATGACAACATGGACCTTTCAGACTCAAGGAGTCATGCATCTTTATCCTGGTGTTAGCTAGTGAAAGTAAAGTGAAAAGAAATGTGTTATTTGTCTCAGTTGGGTGAAAATGTTGTAAAAGGCGAAACTTCAGTTTGGAAAAGCAGTCCCATCATGCCTTACTGTAGTCATTTTTTGTAGGCTGACGGAATAGTGTCAGTTTTGAGTGACATGATTAAGGCATCTGAAGAATGTCATGACTTGTTAGTTTTTCTAAGCCGTAAATTCACTATTTTTTTATTTCTATACTTTTAAGTCACACGTGTCAAATGTAAGGCCTGCAGGCCATATCTGGCCCAACACATCCTTTACATTTTTACAGTCTTATAATTACAACCAGCCCTTTAAAGGCTGATGTGGTCCTCGGCGAAAATGAGTTTGACATCCCTGGCCTACATGTGCACATTTCTGCAACATAACTGAATAAATGTGCTTTTATATGGAGGGAAAGGCATTGAGAGTGGCATACCTTTCCGTGAAAGTCCTTTGATGGATTTCCTTTCTCTGCACATTCCTATAGGCATACCTCGATCCTATGTGGAGGTCCCCGAGGATTACCTCAGAAGAGAAGCCAAACAACTCAAGAGAGAAAGCACACCACCAAGAGACCTCCCCGAGGCCTACAAGGTCAGGACTCATGAGAGCCTCACCCCTTTGAAAACGAAACCAGGACATGAAGGCCTCATTGCCACTGTGAAGGAAGCAGGACGATCAATCCATGAGATTCCCAGGGAGGAACTGAGGCGCACACCTGATGTCTCTCTGATGACAAGGCCCGTCAAGGAAGGTTCTATTACCCAGGTATTCACATTGGGGGCGGGGGGAGAGAGGGTTGAGGCACTAGTATCTTTCCCCCTTGAATTGTACATTGCGATATGGTGTTGCATCAAAAGTGGGCTTTATTCTAAAGCCAGTGAATAAAATGCATGGCTGTAGTGGGATTTCAGCTCAGTCCTCCTCCTATTCTAGTAAAGCCTGTTTGCAAGTACTAATGCCCCCATGGATCCAGATTCACAAAATCAGGCGCTTGGCCTGATCCCTTCTCTGTTCTGGGCAGCTGAAACATTTGGATTCTTTCCCTACTGGCCTTTGGTCATGGCATTTTGTAGTCTACTTGGTTCCTACAGGGATTGAAAGAGAGAGTAGAGTGGCAAAATGCACGAGTTTAATCTATCCCAGGAGAAACCAAAAGAGGCACAAATTCCCTCTACTTTTGTTATTTTTTGAATGCGTGGGCAGGAAAAGAGCTGCCAGGGGTAACTGCCCCCCCTGAGGTGGCACTAGCCCTTTCCCCTCTCAGTGGAGAGACCCTTAACTTATCCAAGGAGAGACTGGTAACAAAATAATGATAATTATCATCATCATCATTATCACTAACACAGTCATCCATGGGTTATACTAAAATCCATAATTTTGGCTTCCAAACCTACCCACAACGAATACATGCGGTCGACTTATACATGAGTTCAATATCGACCAAATATAGGTTTGCACTTACTATAGTTGAGAGTCCAAAAGCACATCTACACTAACAACTTGTGTCCACTTTAAACTGGCATAGAAGAAAACTGGTTCACTGTGTGGATGATTAGAATGGAATTCCTGGTACATTCCTGATTGCATATGCTGCAAAGGCTGGCCTCACAACAGTTCCATGATCCACAGTATCCGTGGCTTCACAGCCACAGAGAATGCTGTTTTAACAAACCAGTAGAGTGCTTTGGGTGTCTGCACATGGAGCTAGTTTTGCCTTGTGATATGGTTTACATTGGAGTACACTGGTGCAATTAAGGGCTAGGTTTTGGACTTTCCTGTGATTTTGCTTATCTCAGTTTAAAGTCCTTAAAGCACACTACATCATGCTTTCACGGCATGCATTGTATTGATGCTACACTTTGAGGCTGCATTCATGCTACATTAAATGGTCAGTGTAGATGGGGGCTCAAGCCATGGTGTGAGCATTTAGGTGTATCAGGTTTTGCATTTATTTGTGATTAGCCCCTGGGTGCAGAATTCTAGATTGCATCAGCCCTTGTTTAGTACTAACCATGCTTTGCGCACTCATCTCAAAACATGCTTTCTGTTCCTGTTTTTTTGGCATGCCGAGTGTGAACCAAACCAGGGCATGCTCTCTAGAACATGTTCCAGAATCTTCTGCACAATAGTAGGAGGGCAGGTTTCCTTGGCAGTGGAATCAGTAAAGGAAGGCCTTTCCAGAAGGTGAATGGTGTGAATACAAACAGGGCAGTGTCCAGAGAAGTCTGCTTTTATATCTTCCTATTGAGCCATTCTTCATACAGGCTCGGTAATCTGTAGAATTGGAAATTAAATTGTAACATAAATTGTAAGATAATAGAGTCTTTCCTGCAATGCAGGCTGAGCCTAGAATGCATTGGGCTCTTCAGAAGATCGGTTGTGAGCTGAATTTTTTTTTCCTCCCTGGAAAATGGCTAACCTTTCTCTCGCACCTTGTCTCTCCAGGGCACCCCCCTGAAGTATGACAACAGCCCTTCCGCAAGTGCCAAAAAGCATGATGTCCGATCCATTATTGGAAGCCCTGGGCGAACCTTTCATCCCGTGCATGCGATGGATGTCATGCAGGATCCAAGGACTCTGGAAAGAGCCTATGATGAGAGCTTGAAAAGCAGGCCCAGCCCTGTGGCAAACACAGGCGGCTCCATCACAAGGGGAGCCCCTGTGATTGTGCCAGAGCCCGGGAAGCCTCGCCACAGCCCTCTTGCATATGAAGACCACCCATCAGCCCATGGGGCAGCTTTCGGCGGCCACTTGCACCGAGGGTCTCCAGTGTCCACAAGGGAACCAACCCCCCGGCAACATGAAGGTTGGTGATACTTTCCACAACACCTTGAATGTGGCTTGCTTTTGGGTCTGAGAGCTCTTTTCACAGTCTGCCTAGCTGCTCTGGTGATGACCACTTCATCTGGGGGAAAAACACTCAACTTAATGTGACTTGCATGAAAAGAAGTGTGAGTGCCTCCACCTTTTAAGAGATGTCACATATTTGTTTAAGGAACCTTCTGCCCTATCTCCCCAAGGGGACTCCTTTCTAGGAAGAAAATAGTGACATTTCTGTCATATATCCATTTGGCTCACACTCTTCAAGCAAGATTGCAAGGGAGATTCTAACTGAAAGGTCTAGGGACTTCCCAGACCTTTCCCATACACGGACACTGCCGCCGCCACCTGCTTCTCCTCCCAAACATGTTTAGAATTAAATGCCACAGATGTAATTGAATGTAAATTGGTGGGGAGGACATGATTTGTAAAAGAAACAGAATCTGTTTGGAAGTAGGGAGAATAGGGTCTAGACCAGGCCTTTTCAACCTATGGCCCTCCAGCTCCCAGAATGTTGACGAGACCTGGTGTAGACATCAAGCATTGTTTTTTAACAGAAATAACGTCCCTAGCTGAAGTCGAAAGTATTTTCATCAGATTTTTTGCCAGTCAATAAGAGAAGAAACTGGCTGCTTCAGGACGCATGGAGATCTCCAAGATGCTTCCACAGCAGCTCTTATTTCAACATCATTTCTCCTTTGACAGGAAACATCACTGCTGGAAAGCCCATGTCCCAGGACAGAAAGATCACCCCAACACCAAGGGAAATGGCCAGCTCCAAGTCTCCTCATGCTACCCTTGCAGAACACCATCACCCCATGTCTCCCTACGAGCACTTGCTCCGTGGCGTCAGTGGCGTGGACCTTTACCGGGGACACATTCCATTGCCCTTCGACCCTGCGGCCATCCCCAGAGGAATCCCCCTGGAAGCAGGTAAAAATGCCCTCGGTGGACACAAACAGCTATTAACGTAAAGGGAATGCCATTGATGTAGCATATCTTGAGTTTAGTAAGACCCTTGACAAGGTTCCCCATGACATTCTTGAAAAGAAGATAATAAAATGTGGGCTAGACAATACCACTGTTACAAGGTGATCTGGGAATGGGTTGAACAGCGAAACCCAAAGGATGCTTCTATCCAGTAGCTCCTCTTCTTCATCCTGGGGAGAAATGATCAGTGGCGTTCCATTGGGAGGAGGGTTTGTCCTGGCCTTTTGGGGCTATTGAACATCTTTATCAATGACTAGAATGATGGAATAGAAGGCATGGTTGTCAAATTTGGAGATGACACCAGATTGGAAGGGCTTGCTAGTATCCCAGATGACAGGGTCGGAATTCAAAATGACCTCAACAAATGAAAGAGCTGGGTCAAAACTAACAAAATGAATTTCCACAAGAGAAATATGCAGTACTATACTTTGGCAATAAACATGAAATTTGGTGGTTTAGGATGGTTGACATCTGGAGATCTATGTGTCTTAGGAGACAGTGTGCTAATGCAATTCTAGGCTGCTTCAATAGGAGTATAGTGTCAAAATCAAAGGAAGTCATAGGAACTATATTCTGCTTTGGTCAGTCTTCACCTGGAATACTGTGTCTCTGTTCTGGGAACAACAGTTAAAGATGGATATTGATGAGCTAAAACATATCTAGAGAATAAAATGATCAAAGGTCTGGAAGCCAGGCCCTATGCGGAATGTCTTGAGGGAGCTGGGTAGGTTTAGGTTGGAGAAAAGAAGGTCATGTTTCAATATTTGAAAGGAATTTACATTGAGGAGGGGATAAGCTTGTTTTCTGCTGCTTCAGAGACTAGATCATGGAGCAGTTGTTTCAATCTACAGGAAAACAGAATTCTATTGGAATTTTACCTGATGGTAAAAGCTGTTTGACAGTGGAATATGCTGCCCAGGGTGTGGTGGTGTCTCCTTGGGATATTTTTAAACAGAGGCTGGATGACCTTCTGTTGGGAGTGCTTTATGTATTCTGGCATGACACATCGGGGTTGGACTGGATGGTGCTGGAGGTCTCTTCCAATTCTACGATTATCAGAGTGACTGGAGCCCCTTGGGTGGGTTAGATAAGCCTTGTCAGGTCTCACTGGAGAGATTGAGTTTGATCCATTTTTAAGAATCCTGGCCAGTTGAAAGGCCAAACAGGGTATAGGGTTATAGCCTGTGCTTGATGGGGTTCCACTCCCCCTGAAGGCACAGGTTCACAGCTTGGGAGTGATCCTGGACTTATTGCTGAGTCTGGAACCCCTGGTCTCGGTAGCCAGGGGAGCTTTTGCACAATTAAAACTTGTGCGCTAGCTTTGCCCATATCTTGGGAGGTCTGACTTGGTCACGATGGTCCACGCTCTGGTTACATCCCGAATAGATTACTGCAACGCACTCTATGCGGGGTTGCCTCTAAAGATTGCTCAGAAGCTCCAGCTAGTCCAACATTTGGCAACCAGGTTGCTCACTGGAGCGGGGTACAGGGAGCAGACAACTCCCCTGTTAGGCCAGCTCCACTGGCTGCCTATTAGCTTCCGAGCACAATTCAAAGTGCTGGCTTTAGCCTATAAAGCCCTAAACACTTCCGGCCCAGTTTACCTGTCCAAAAGTTTCTCCCTCTACGAATCACCAAGGACATTAAGATCATCCGGGGAGGCCCTGCTCTCGGTCCCACCTCCTTCACAACCACAACTGGTGGGCACGAGAGACAGGGCCTTTTCCATGGTGGCCCCTTGGCTGTGGAACTCTCTCCCCAATGAAATTAAATCCGCCCCCTCCTTCCTGACCTTTCAGAAAAAACTCAAATTCTGGCTTTGGAATCAAGAGTTTGTGCAATAGGTGGATCAACTGGGAAGAGAACGATTTAGTGGACCAAAATTGGAGTGATTTGGATTATGTTTTGAACCAGCGAACTGTTTTTAATTGAATGCTTACAATTGTTTTAATTGTGTTAATTGTAACCGTGTGTTTTTAATGTATTGTTTTTGGCATTTAATGGCTGTCGCTGTAAGACGTCCTGAGTCCCTCTTCGGAGGTGAGAAGGACGGGAAAGAAATGCCATAAATAAATGAATAACACTGGGAGATTCTGGCCACAATTGTTGTATAAAATAGTAGCCTTTAAAGCTGTCCTCCAAAGTCACACATCTGGGAATGTGTTCTATCCATAACTGAATGGACAAGGTAAGGACACAAAGAACTCAGGTCTGGGGAAGGGTTATGGAGAAATGCGAATAAATACGTACATACATAGAGATTCAGTGTCAGATAGTGGGGCCAACTGCCGTCATCACAGCTGGCCTCATGATCCAAACCACCGAAGATGTGTAGCACGTGAAACAGAAAACTTGTCTCTTGTCTCTACTCTTTCCAGCAGCTGCTTATTACCTGCCGAGGCACTTGGCTCCTAGTCCAACATACTCCCATCTGTACCCACCCTACCTCATCCGTGGCTACCCAGACACCGCCGCCATGGAGAACCGGCAGACCATCATCAATGACTACATCACCTCCCAACAGATGCACCACAACGCTGCAGCTGCTACTGCCATGGCTCAAAGAGCTGACCTGCTCCGTGGTCTATCTCCGCGGGAGCCTTCCCTAGCCCTGAACTATGCAGCAGGTCTGAAAACCTTGGGATTCTAGAAGTGTCAGGTGGGAAATCTAGCTTGGGGTGGCAATGGGGATGGCCACGGAGATATGTGGCACTTTGTAGAGGTGTTCGTATTCGCAAATCAAGGGTCCAGATCTTTGAAGTCAGAGATTAGATATAGTTGACTTAATTGGGGGGCTCTTTATGTGACTGAAGCGCCTGGTGGCGCAGTGGGTTAAACCGTTGAGTTGCTGAACTTGCTTACTGAAAGGTTGCAGGTTCGAATGTGGGGAGCAGTGTGAGCTCCCGCTGTAAGCCCCAGTTTCTGCCTGCCTAGCAGTTCAAAAACATGCAAACAGGTACTGCTCTGGCAGGAAGGTAACGGCACTCCATGCAGTCAAGTCAGCCACATGACCTTGGAGGTGTCTATGGACAATGCCGGCTCTTCGGCTTAGAAATGGAGATGAGCATCAACCCCCAGAGTAGGGCATGACTGAATTCAATGTCAGGGGAAACCCTTTACCTTTACTTTACTTTTACCTTGTGTGACTAGCTCTTGGTTCTGTTTCCTTACTGGCTCTGCTCCCCTAACTGCCTCTCTCTTTGGTTCCCCCAGCAGGAATAATTGACTTGTCACAAGTGCCACATTTGCCTGTGCTTGTGCCCCCCAGTCCTGGTACCTCAACCCCCTCCATGGATCGGCTTGCGTACATCCACAGCACACCCCAGCCTTTCAGTAGCCGGCACAGCAGCTCCCCACTCTCGCCAGGTGAGACCTGAGGAAATCCCGTAGGGCACCTCTGAGTCACTGAGCTGCAGGCCTAGTATCAAGGTGTCATCTCAGTCACTGTGGGATGCCCAAACACACACATACTGCCAGGGCTGGAGAAAAATTGGTCAGAAAGTTTCCTGGATCTAGCTGTTAAGCGTTGGCATGACATGAGGCACAGATCCAGGTATTTAATAGCTCACCTGTTCTCCAATAAATCTGCCAGGGACCACAAACTTTTTGAGTCCCTCTTTATTTGTAAAATGAAATCTTGGAAGGAGCAAAGAGAAAGACAATACAAAGGGCCAACCAAAGGAGTTTGGAAAGTGAATGGTCAGGGTAGAGCTGGAAATCTCTTAGTAGACAGATGCAATCACAGAAGATGTTCCTCTTGATAGAGAAAGGCCCTTGATACAGGTGTGAAATGCTAGCTGAATGCAGGAAAACACCAACGTTTAACACCTGTGAACATGATTGATCAAATCTAATTGAAACCTCTGTGTTGTTTTATTGCTTACTAGCCGTCCCCTGCCACACATTGCTGTGGCCCACATGGGGGTTCTGTGTGGGAGGTTTGGCCCAATTCTATCATTGGTGGGATTCAGAATGCTCTGTGATTGTAGGTGAACTATAAATCCCAGCAACTACAACTCCCAAATGTCAAGATTCCCAAACTCTACCAGTGTTCACATTTGGACATATTGAGTATTCGTGTAGCGTTTGGTCCAGATCCATCATTGTTTGAGTCCACAGTGATCTCTGGATGTAGGTGAACTACAACTCCAAAACCAAAGGACACTGCCCACCAAACCGTTCCAGTATTTTCTGTTGGTCATGGAAGAACTGTGTGCCAAATTTTGTTCAATTCCATCATTGGTGGGGTTCAGAATGCTCTGTGTTTGTAGGTGAACTATAAATCCCAGCAACTATAACTCCCAAATGATAAAATCATTTTTTTTTTTGAGTAAAGAACATACATTGGGTTGTTAGGTGTATTGTGTCCAAATTTGGTGCCAATTCATCTAGTGGTTTTTGAGATATGTTAATCCCACAAACGAACATTACATTTTTATTTATATAGATAAGAAGGTATGTACATATCCTGCTAAGTGTACAGACACATCACACAAAACAATATTTAGGGTGTCTTCAGATTTTGTTTTCCCCCACGTGCACATCCCTTTTAATGTTCAGAGAAGTCAAACTATCTGCTTCCTGAGCATGTTCAGTCTGCTGTGATTCTGGACTTGTGTGTATAAAATTGCCATTGATTCACAGGAGCCCCCACTCACTTGACCAAGCAGATGGGACCTTCGGTTTCGGAACGGGAGCAAGAACGAGATCGGGAAAGGGAGCGTGAGAAGGAACGCAAGAAGTCTGTCTTAGCAGCCACAGCCACTGTAGAGCATGCCCCCATCTGGAGACCAGGTAGCCTCAGTGTTCAGTATGGGGAAGGAGAGGAGTCCAACTACCCCTTCTTTGCAACTCCTTTCTGAATGTCCCATGTGGAATGTTTCACTGTGATTCTTCCTACAGGTACAGACCAGAGCGGTGGCCGTTCATCTGCACACACTCATGCCCAGAAACACTCCCCCATCTCACCTCGCACCCAAGAGAACATCCAACAGCGTCCCAGCGTGCTGCACAATACAAACATGAAGATGATGTCCTCAGAGTGCCTTACTCCTTCAGTTTTACGGTACAGCCCAAGGGTTTACGTGTTAATGGAGTTCTGGGTGGCTGGGGTATGGCGGATGGTAGTGGTGAAATCACCCAATGCATTTTATCAGCACATGAAATGGGTAAAGAGCATGCACCTGACTTGTTAGAGCAGAGGTGTCAAACTCATTTTCATCGAGGGCCACATCAGCCTTATGGTTGCCTTCAAAGCGCAATTTAATCCATGGACAGAGAAGTCATGGATACAGATCATCAACACAATAGTCCGTGCTCTTTAGTTTTTACACAGTTTGGGTCTCCAAATGTTATTGATTGAGAACTCCTGTCACTTTGGATTATCTGCCACGGGACTGGGAATAATGGGAGTTGCAGCCCAGCAGCACTTGTGGCTCTAAGGTTGGGGAAAGATTTAAATTGAATGCTATTTTAATTGTAACTCTGTATTTTAATAATAAAATAAATAATAAACTTTATTTATACCCCTCTGGGACTCAGGGCGGCTAACATGAGGCCAAGCCCAAATAATTACAATAAAGCAAAATAAAATATGTACATACAGACAATAACATCAAATACAAATGCTTAACAATAACATAGTAGTGCAATAAAATTATGACAGTAACATAATAAAAACAAAGTATAAAATGCTAAAAGAATTAAATAAGGATGAGCTAGACCAAATGCAAAGAGTAAAAATTGTAAAACCCGTGGGTAAGATAGGTCGATGTGCTGTGTCTAGTAGGAGGTGCGATAAACAATGAGGTTAATCTCCACTGAGGGATGAGATGAAGTGCATCAGAATGTATTTATTTATTTACTATATTTGTATACCGCCCTTCTTAGCCCTTAGGTGACTCAGGGCGGTTTACAATGGCCCAAAAACACTATAAAACATTTAAAAACATTAACACATAATATAAAACCATAACAAGATTGGGACGGGACCAATTGTTTGGCATCTAATGGTTGCCTGTTGTAACCTGCCCCGAGTCCCTCTTCGGGGGTGAGAAGGACAGTATATAAATGCTCTAAATAAATAAATAAGGACATTTTAATGTCAGACATCGTAGCTGCAGGCCTTGTATCTAAATTTAAACCCCACTCTCATGACTCAATAGAACAAACGGCAGCCTTCCAGATATGAATGTATCACAACTCCTATCATCAGCTCTAGTCATGGTACAATGATGAAGAATCCAAGAGTTGTCATCCAGCATTTGGGGAATCACATCAAGTGACATGGTGGGCCGAATTCGGCCCATGAACCTTCGGTTTGACACGTGTGTGTTAGAGCTTTATAGGGGGATTGCAAAGGTAGTGCAAAGGTGACACCTCAGGGTTGTGGCTAACATGGTCGTGAATACATAACCCTTATTTATGTGAAATGCTTCAAGATACATATTTTTGACGACAATTATCCTGTAATTCCATAGTGTGTCAGACAGTGCAAGTCTCTTATTTCTTTTTCTTCTGCTTTTCAGGTCCTCTTCCTCCTCCTCCTCAATTACCACTACCACATCACCAGTTCGCTCCTCAGTCTACTCCTCTACATCCTCATTGCGCAGCTCTGTAAGTGGCATGGATAACTACCCATCTGCAATGGATGCTGCCCACATGCAGAAGGAGGCCTCCAGGGCCCAGGAAGCCAAAACAGAACGGCCTCAGACTGACAGCGGCCTGTTCACCACAAAGCTGCCCACTGGGGCAGGTCTAGAAAAGTCACCTTCGCCCATTAAAGTTATGGAACCGCGGCCTTTGGCCATGTCTGGGCCAGGCTCGTCCCACCATTATAGCAGAGGACAGGGGAAAAACCAGCCTCAGCATCATGCACCCCTGGACCAGTCGGTGGACACGGTTTCGGCCAGTGAGCAGCCCAGTAGAGAAAAGAGTAAACCCTTTTCAGTACAGGAACAGGAGCTCCGAGCACTCGGTAAGACCACCATGACAGCGGCCAGCTTCATAGATGTGATTATCATGCGTCAAATTTCTTGCGATAAGGGGAAGCGGGAGAGAAGCTCGCTAAATAACGACGCCAATAGCGATGGTAAGAAATTGGAGGGGGGAGTGGGGCGGAATGCCAAGTTTGTGGCCTTGAAAACACACACAGATACATTATAAAAAACCTCCCTTAACCCATCATTTTTTTGGACATTTATTTTTATTTTTTGCATTTGTGGTGGTGACGTGTTTTATATCACGTGCCTGTCCTCTCACTCTTTATATCTTATTTTTCCTCCTGCCCATCATGCTTTGGAGATTTTTTTTAAAAAAAATTAATTTCTTTTGGCTCGTTGCTGTCATATGTATTAGTTCTATTTCTGGTATGTTGCTACTGAAGGGGATGGGTGGCACAAGCGTGGACCTGGAAGGCATGGTGCTCAAGAAAATGTGAATGAGAAAGCAGCCATTAGCAATTTTATATAGTTGCCTAACACTTTTGGATTAGTGATTCTTTTCCAGAGTTGTGATGGGTTTTTGCTTCTGTGTCACAAATCTGGCTTATATCTGTTTTAAGTATACGTTGCATGGCTTGGTGTATTTTTATCTGATGTATACTGGTCATATTACATGACTTATGTATTTAGCTGTTGGTGATGAAGACCTTGGTCTGTTGTCTGTATAATCCAAAAACAATACTAGATGCAGAAGCAGTGACAATAAACATGTCTGTTAGCTGTGAGAATATGAATCCATCACAAATGGTTCTTCCTTGTCTTGGAACATCTTGGGACTAGAGTCACAATTTTTGGGTTGCTGTGAGTTTTCCAAGCTGTATGGCCATGTTCCAGAAGCATTCTCTCCTGACGTTTTGTCCACATCTATGGTAGGCATCCTCAGAGGTTGTGAGATCTGTTGGAAACTAGGCAAGGAATAATGTCCAGGCTGGGAGAAAGAACTCTTGTCTGTTTGAGAAAAATGTGTGAATGTTGCAATTGGCCAGCTTGATTAGCATTTAATGGCCTTGCAGCTTCAAAGCCTGGCTGCTTCCTGCCTGGGGGGCTACTTTCTTGGGAGGTGTTAGCTGGCCCAGATTGTTTCCTGTCTGAAATTCCCCTGTTTTCTGAGTGTTGTTCTTTATTTACTGTCCTGATTTTAGAATTTTTTAATACTGGTGGCCAGATTTTGTTCAGTTTCACAGTGGTTAGAGTGGTCCAGCATTTCTGTGTTCTCCAATAATATGCTCTATTCAGGTTGGTTCATCAGGTGCTCTGCTATGGCTGACTTCTCTGGTTGAATTAGTCTGCAGTGCCTTTCATGTTCCTTGATTTGTGTTTGGGCAATGCTGTGTTTGGTGGTCCCTCTGTAGACTTGCATGGTAGACTCCTGCAGAGGTGAGAGGATCCCTCTTGTCCTTTGCTGAACATAGCATTTGTTGAGTTTCCAACAGACCTCACAACCTCTGAGGATACTGCCCATAGATGTGGGTGAAACATCAGGAGAGAATGCTTCTGGAACATGGCCAGACAGCCCGGAAAACTCACAGCAACCTAGCCATGAAAGCCTTCAACAACAAATAGTCACGATTTTGTGAAATGGATGTTACTATTTGAAAATTATCTGGCCGTGTAGATTGTTTGCATCACTCTATATAGCTCTGCCAAGGGATGTCTTTTGAGAGCTCGGAAGCCTTGTAAATAGTACTTTTGAAGTTACTTAGACTTGACCCTGGAAACAATTTGACACACTTTGCAGCTGAAACAGCAGAGACGTGGTATGATGAGGGTTCTCGATACATCAACATAGATGTAATTAGTGAATGGATGACAGCAATCAGGTCCACTTTCTCCAAGCAGGAATGCAATGAGCATACAAGCCAAAATGGGTGAAAAGTTGTTAGTAAAGTTATTTGAGCTATAACGGCAAATTCTTCCAGCTGTGACAGAAAATATACTATTCCCTTTCAAAGTTGCTGCTGTGATAAACTGCATTTCATTCAGAAGCTAATATGTCTTACCTTGAGCTTCTGCTTCCTAGTCTCTCACCTTTTGCCTACCCGGAGAGAATATCAGTTATATCTGTATCATGAAAAGATGATGCATTTGCTCCATGTGTCATACCTCTCCGTTCCTTCCTGTCAGTAAGTGCTGGCAAGTGTTGTATCCCAAGTGTACACATGTTACAGCAGACATCTCCTACTGAGTGCCCTCCTGATGTGTTGGACTAGAGCTCTGCCTGGCTGGGATGATGGGCATGTAGGTCTCCATAGGATGGGAAAGCATGGGATCAAGCGTGCAGAGATTGCATTGGATTACCATGTATGAAAGCAAGGGAAAGGAAAGCTGCAGTCACTTTTGAAAAACCTGTGAAGTTTTCTTCTGTCCATTCTGTAAAATTCAGCATGTATACAGCCGCAGCAGTGCTTAGATGGAAATACCTCCCTCATTTGAGACACTTCCCATCTTTGTGCCCTTCAGCTTTCCATGCAGGCTACAGCCCCGATGACATTGAAGCAGTAAGTCCTGTGAGTTCCCCCAGTATGCTGCATGATAGAGGGACAAAGCTTTCCCAGGATATGGAGAGAGGACGTGGAGGAGAACATGAGCTACGGATCAAGCAGTCAGGTGAGGAAGTTTTCCTTGTGTATAGAGCCGGAAGAGGAACTCAATCTGCCTGGTTTCCTTATTCCCTTTGGCAGCATTTTGCTGTGCAAAGGTCTGCTCTCTTATCCACACTTGGCACCCCTCACATCTCACACTTCAGACCATTCCATACATTATGTTGCAACATAATGTATGTGACATGAACACCTGCTTGTCCTATTTTGATGGATTCTTTTCAGCTTGTGAAGCCCGAGGATGTGGACAAGATACTTGGAGGAATGAGGCCCACCACGTCCATCCTAGACCCCTGCCCATCCTGGCTTCTGAAGGAGGCCAGAGGGGGATTGGCTGAGTGGGTAACGGTGGTGGTTAATGCCTCCCTTCGGGAAGGCAAAATTCCAGCGTGCTTAAAACAAGCAATTATAAAACCGCTGTTGAAGAAACCATCACTGGACCCCACTAAATTTGACAACTTTCGGCCTGTTTCCAATCTCCCCTTTTTGGGCAAAGTCATGGAAAGCGTGGTGGCCTCACAACTCCAGGTATTCTTGAGAGACACGGATATTCTGGATCCGGCACAGTCTGGTTTCAGACCGGGACATGGAACCGAGACGGTCTTGGTCGCCTTAGTGGATGATCTGCGCCGGGAGCTAGACAGGGGGAGTGTGTCCCTGTTGGTGCTCCTGGACCTCTCAGCGGCCTTCGATACCGTCGACCACGGTATCCTTCTGGGGCGCCTTGCAGAGATGGGTCTTGGGGGCACTGCTCTGCAGTGGCTCCAGTCATTTCTGGAGGGCCGTACCCAGAAGGTGTTATTGGGGGACTCCTGTTCAACTCCACAGCCTTTGACCTGTGGGGTTCCACAGGGCTCTATACTGTCCCCCATGCTGTTTAATATCTACATGAAGCCGCTGGGTAAGATCATCCGGAGTTTCGGGGTGCGGTGTCATCTGTACGCAGATGATGTCCAACTCTGTCACTCCTTTCCACCTGCTACTAAGGAGGCTGTCGAGGTCCTGAACCAGTGCCTGGCCGCTGTAACGGTCTGGATGAGGGCGAACAAACTGAAATTAAATCCAGACAAGACAGAGGTACTCCTGGTCAGTCACAAGGCCGAACAGGGTATAGGGTTACAGCCTGTGCTGGACGGGGTCGCACTCCCCTTGAAGGCGCAGGTTCGCAGCTTGGGTGTGACCCTGGATTCATCATTGAGCCTGGATCCCCAGGTTTCAGCGGTGACCAGGGGAGCATTTGCACAGCTTAGGCTCGTGCGCCAGCTGCGCCCGTACCTTGGGAAGTCTGACTTGGCCACGGTGGTACACGCTCTGGTCACATCCCGCCTTGACTACTGCAACGCTCTCTACGTGGGGCTGCCCTTGAAGACGGCCCGGAAGCTTCAGCTAGTCCAGCGCGCGGCAGCCATGTTACTAACAGGAGCGGGTCGCAGGGAGCACACAACGCCTTTGCTGTCCCAGCTCCACTGGCTGCCGATTTGCTACCGGGCCCAATTTAAGGTGCTGGTGTTATCCTACAAAGCCCTAAACGGTTCCGGCCCAAAATACCTTTCGGACCGCATCTCGGCCTATGAGCCCACGAGGGCCTTGAGATCGTCTAGGGAGGCCCTTCTCTCGATCCCGCCTGCCTCACAGGCACGTCTGGCGGGGACGAGAGAGAGGGCCTTCTCGGTGGTGGCCCCCCGGCTGTGGAACACCCTCCCTGTTGACATCAGACAGGCGCCCTCCCTTATGTCCTTCCGTAAGAGCTTAAAGACCTGGCTATTCGAGAAGGCATTTAACTGAGTGCTATACTAATTGGAAATGACAACTGGAACGAAATGGATTATGGGATTGGTTACGATTCGATGTTGGAATGGAGTGGATGATTTAGTGTAATTTAGATTACTGTGTATTTTGATATGTTGTTTTTTGTATTGTTCTATTGTAAACGGTTTTTAAATGTTGTACACTGCCGCGAGTCGCCCCAGGGCTGAGAGCGGCGGTCAACAAATGCACCAAATAAATAAATAAATAAATAAACAAACGTCTTGTATTCCTAGTTCAGCTTGTTTACGTATATGTGTCACTAAACAGAGGGCCAGCATGGTGCAATGCTTTGAGTGCTTTGAGTATTGGACTATGACTGTAGACCAGGGTTCAGCTCCTCGCCCAACGATGAAAACCTATTGGGGATCCATGGGCAAGTCACACTCTCAGCCTCAGAGCAAGGCAAATCCCCTTTGAGCAGGTCTTGCCAAGTAAACCCCATGATAGGGTCACTTTAGGGTTTCCAACTCCATGATTAATATATGATTAATATAATATATGAATATAATATATCATGGGCCAGAGGTTTAGCACAGCTGTTAAATCACCAGCAATTATAAGATCTATTAACTGAAAGGTTGCAAGTTTGAAGCCCTGGGTCAGCATGAGCTGCCGACTGTCAGCCTAGCTCATTATTTACCTAAGCAATTAAAAAACGGCTTTAGTTATAATTAGATAAATTAGGTACCGCTAAAAGCAGGGGAGGTGTTTTACGACACCATAAAGAAAGAAAATCAGAAAATGCTGGGTGACCAAAAGGAAGGAGGAAGTCCTGACGGCTCTTCGTCATAGAGGATACAGCAACAGCACCCCCTGGACTGGAGCCCAACCTTCCATGGCACCAAAAACAGCTGGACACTGACTCGAAACAAACCACCTCCTTCTGTTCTGTCTGTCTGTGGATTGCCTCTACAAAGTGGCATTGAATGTTTGCTGTGTATATGTACTGTGATCCGCCCTGAGTCCCCTTCGGGGTGAGAAGGACGGAATGTAAATAAAGTTTTTTCTTCATGGACTCTGGGAATGCACACATGTGGAGTGTCTGCGCCTGCGCAGGCCCCAACAAAAACTTCCCAAGTTTAAAACTGCAAGTTTTGGCAGCAACAAGCATGTTTATCTCATCCACACAGGACAGTTTTAGATGTATGCTTTAAAAACTTGGCTTATATCCTTAGGAAAGTCACGAGTGAACATTTCACATCCTCTTTCATTGTGACTTTGCCAAAATAGAGTGAATCTGAAATTTGTTTAGTTCATTACACCCTGTATTTAATCTTCCAGACACTTAACTCATCCCAGACTATTTTTCTTCTTTTTCTCTCTGCCTGAAGGTTCACTCAAGCCTTCTGGATCCGAAATGCCACACATGCAGCAGTTCCACCAGCTCTCAGAAGGTCGGCAGACTCCACCAGGCCTGCCATTCCAGGGATCGCAGAACACCAAAGGCCACCAGCGGGTTGTCACCCTGGCTCAGCATATTAATGTGAGTAACACGTCTTGTGTTGCTTCCAGATGAATACCACGCACAGGGTGGTGTTTTTCCTGGGGAGAACTCATTTCATTGTCTTTATGGAAAGATCCAATGGTGTGAAGTCTTGCCACCTCAGGGAATATTTGGGCCTAGCTCCAGTGAAACCAGACACATTTTTTGCAGGAAAGAATGGTGTATGCAGCCTTCTCCAAGACAGACATGTGAACTGAGTTATTTCTGCTCTGAAGTTCAGAGTACATTGTTTCTGGTTAATGCCATGGTTAACTTGCAGGTTACATTTACAGGTGGATACATCCTTTAGAATTTAGTCATCCTGAAGATGTAACTTGGTTCTTCAGTGGGCCTCTAGGCTAACAGTGAACAACTTGCCCTCCCCTGCCAATTGCCCAATGAAGGTTGAATGATGTCAGAGGTGGGGAGCAGGGAGGAAGGAAAGCAGTGTCATCCAGCACCTGGCTGGAAAGGCTAGTGAGAAGGAAATTCCACCTTAAAGCCCATCAGTATATTGGGAATAAGTGGAAATTTCCTTCTGGCTCACCTCCAGAGAGAGATCCTGAGGAAAAGGAGAGGTTTGGCCTAATGGGAAATCTCTACTGGATGTATCAGAAGTGTGAGTCAGATCATTCCCTTCCCACGTGTCTCAAACAACGTTTATGTTCCTATTGCCAACCAGTGAAAACATTTCAAAAGCAATTAATGTTTTCTTCAGGGAGGAGGATCTTTGTCCCATGGCAAACATGCCGTGTTTTTTTCCACAGTCAAATCAGGATGGAGAGTAATCCTTAGAGAATCAAGGTTTGCAAGTCACCAAATTAAAGAAACACTTTATTTTCCAAATAAGACAGCTACCCTCTTTTTCAAAACTTGAATAATAAAGTGATGGGAACCTTGAAACTATGAGTGGCCTTTCCTTGTTGTATACCAGCTCTTCCAAGATTTTTGTTTGCAGGGGAAAAAAACGGGGAAAATACATCAATCTCTTCTTTGAGACTAAAAAAGTACCTTGATGGGAAAGCAGACAAGCTCCTTCTTCACCCCAAGAATCTCTCTCTTATGACATTGCAAAGAATTAGCCAAAAACCAGGGCTGTTTTCTTTTCCTACAGGAAGTGATCACCCAGGACTATACACGGCGTCATCCCCAGCAGCTGAACTCCCACATCCAGACTCCCGTATACTCCTATGCTGGGGCTTCATGTCCTGCGCTTGATCTCCGACGAACATCTAGTGAAACCTACATCCAGCAGCAGCAGCAGCAAATGCAGCACATGTCTGCTTCAAGAATTTCACCAGAAAGTGAAGGAAGCAAAAGGTGAAGATGCCTTGTTCTCATCTTTATGTTCCTATTGCCAACCAGTGAAAACATTTCAAAAGCAATTAATGTTTCCTGTTGCTTAAATTTCTCTTTCTTCCTGCCTCAGTATTGTGGGCATAATGCATGGGTCTCGTCCAGACGGGTTTTTTGTTTGTTTGTTTGTTTTGGAGGGGGGGGGGTCCATATCAGGAGCGACTTAAGAAACTGCAGGTCACTTTTGGTGTGAGAGAATTCACCGTCTGCAAGGGGCTTATTTATTTATTTAGCAGTTTTGTATACCGGTCTTCTCACCTCTGTTCGAGGGACTCAGGCCGGTTTCCAACATCAATATTACAGACAGTCATTAAAACATCATATTCTAAATCACACTAAAACATTAAAACATCATATTCTAAATCACACAGCCGCGCCTGTGAGGCCGGTGGGATCGAGAGCAGGGCCTCTCCAGACGATCTTAGCAATCTTGATGGTTCGTAGGCTTCCAACTGATGACACAGGAGACAAGATGGAGCTGTCTTCCTGGCCCCTCTCTTCACTCTGATCCCAGAGCAGCACATGGGGAGCTGGAGCTGACAGAGGGAGCTTATCTGCATTCTCCCTGGATTCGAACCTCCAACCTGTCGGTCTTCAGTCCTGCCAGCACAAGGGTTTAACCCATTGTGCCACCGGGGCCTCTCAGACCAGGTTATACACCATGTTAAAGGAGAAGCATCAGCTTTATTTCTCCATCAATGAAAACAAGGTTTAAAATCAGCTAAATCATTAGCATGAATTAAACAGAAATGCAATCTAAAACCAAAGGAATACATACACAGACTGTGCTTGAACCATCTCCCTAGGCCCCTCCAGATGATTCTTCCTTTTATTCCAGGAGGCATGGAAAGCTGTTTCACTCCCTGTACATGGAACAAAAAGATATACGGGATTGGGTTATCACTTATCATTGCCCGAGAGAGACAAGAGTCACATGATAGCGAGTGAAAATGAAAGTATCTAGACTAGCTGCTCCCTCAGTTTTGCCATTGCTTATCTTAGGGGGAGAAGCACTGAGAGCAGACAGAGACATGCAAAAAGACTGTAATTTTGTTCGAACCAAGTACATATAAAAACATTAGAAAGGAGCTGCTGTAAAGGTGGGATGAATGTCTCCTCCTTTTGCAGACAAGAATGGATCTTCTGGGTAAGTATGCTGGATTTCAGCCCCCAGCCAAATTGATCCAAAAGAGTCAGGGCACCTTCCTTTTAATCTTAAGACAGGAGAGAAGGGATAGCCTCTACCTGTAATTGACCTTCCTGGATTTTTTCAGTCCCCAAGTCCTCATCTTTGGTCTCTCATTGTGAAAATTGTATTAAGGACCCTTTCAAAATGTAAACTGTTGCATAATATGTATGACGACAGAAGAGTATCTGACAGCTAGCTCAAATGGGAATGTTTTACAAAGCTTTTTGGATATGTTCCACCTTGGACTTTCATAAGTCTCAAGGGAGTCCTAGAACAACTCCCAAAAAGGACCTCTGAATGTTCTTTGCTTGTGAGCACCATACACAGATAGAGCTTAGGGAATGCCTCTGAAGCATCCCATTCAACACAGAGCTTAGAAAGGGGCTTTTTAGCTACAGCTTCCATGCCATATTGTTGAGGGTTTTGAAAGTTAGCCAGAAAAGGAATGTTTCTAAGACCTTCAGAACTATCATTAATAATTAGGTATAGTTGCAACTCTCTCCTTCTTGGAACAGCAGTAATTCCTTCTCTTTGCCTTTCACCCACATGTAGTTTGCAGGTTTAGAATGAGAGCATCAATTACCCACAAATTCATTCATATGCAAATACCTGAGATCAGTGTGTAACACAGAAAACAGTTCTTGCTGTTCCCAAACTATACACCCTACATGCTTTCTCTATCGTTCTTTTTCTGGCTTCATCCTCCCCATCAGCGCTATTCTTCAGCAACACTGTGTGTGTGTGTGTGTGTGTGTGTGTGTGTGTGTGTGTGTGTGTATATATATATATTGTTGTTGTTCATTCGTTCAGTCGTCTCCGACTCTTCGTGACCTCATGGACCAGCCCACGCCAGAGCTCCCTGTCGGCCGTTACCACCCCCAGCTCCCTCAAGGTCAGTCCAGTCACTTCAAGGATGCCATCCATCCATCTTGCCCTTGGTCGGCCCCTCTTCCTTTTGCCTTCCACTTTCCCCAGCATAATTGTCTTCTCTAGGCTTTCCTGTCTCCTCATGATGTGGCCAAAGTACTTCAACTTTGTCTCTAGTATCCTTCCCTCCGGTGAGCAGTCGGGCTTTATTTCCTGGAGGATGGACTGGTTGGATCTTCTCGCAGTCCAAGGCACTCTCAGAACTTTCCTCCAACACCACAGCTCAAAAGCATCGATCTTCCTTCGCTCAGCCTTCCCGAAGGTCCAGCTCTCACATCCGTAGGTTACTACAGAGAATACCATGGCTTTGACTAGGCGGATCTTTGTTGCCAGTCTGATGTCTCTACTCTTTACTATTTTATCGAGACTGGACATTGCTCTCCTCCCAAGAAGTAAGCGTCTACTGATTTCCTGGCCACAGTCTGCATCTGCAGTAATCTTTGCACCTAGAAATACAAAGTCTGTCACGGCCTCCACGTTTTCTCCCTCTATTTTCCAGTTGTCAATCATTCTTGTTGCCATAATCTTGGTTTTTTTGACGTTTAGCTGCAACCCGGCTTTTGCGCTTTCTTCTTTCACCTTGATTAGAAGGCTCCTCAGCTCCTCCTCGCTTTCGGCCATCCGAGTGGTGTCATCTGCATATCTGAGGTTGTTAATGTTTCTTCCAGCAATTTTCACCCCAGCCTTGCATTCATCAAGCCCCGCACATCGCATGATGTGTTCTGCATACAAGTTAAAAGGTTGGGT